AAACCTTATATGAACATAAAAGGTTATATGAACACAAATTATGAACATAAGTTAGGTTATATGAACATAGATTAAGTTATATGAACACAAATTAAGTTATATGAACACAAATTAAGTTATATGAACATCAGTTAGGTTATATGAACATAGATTAAGTTATACGAACACAAATTAAGTTATATGAACAGTTAGGTTATATGAACACAGATTAAGTTACATAAACACATTTTAGGTCAATTCAGGGCATAATGCATAAGTCTAAGTGGGTTAAAGACTGGATGTATATTTTATCTAAAGTTTGTTCAATGTTATAAGATACTGGTAGCATTTCTTGACTACCCTTTAACGCCTCTAGTTACAAATCAGTTTAGATGTTTACTGGTCATAATCAAGTGATCGTATTATATTCACCTAATATTTATTAAAATTTTAGTTATTTGAAATTACTATCTTGAATTTAACACCGGCCACCACAATATCGCATTAAAGTAGCTTATCAACCAGAACTCTGAAAATTAAATAAAAAGCTTCTCGCAGAATTATTTAATGGTTGTTTTTTTTTGAAGAAAATGGAAAAATTCAGGTTCATTATAAAACGTTTAATCTCGTCAGTACCAGTAGGTCTCGTTGGATAATTCAAGTCACGTGGTAATTAAAATATGATAGACATTTCATGTATTCAATAATTCATTGTCGATGTTTCACGTTTTACAAGCATTTTCTTTGTTTGTTTTATTTCGCCCAAAGCTACACGAGGGCTATCTGAGCTAGCCGTCCCTAATTTAGCAGTGTATGACTAGAGGGAAGGCTGCTAGTCATCATCACCCACCGCCAACTCTTGGGCTACTCTTTTACCAAGGAATAGCGGGATTGACTGTCACATTATAACGCCCCTACGGCTGAAAGGGGAACCATGTTTAGTGGGACGGATATTCGAACCCGTGACCCGCAGATTGCGAGTCGAGCGCCTTAACCACCTGGTTATGCCGGGCCTTAACATTTAAGCTTACGTTAAAAATATTAAAAAGGTTTGAACTAAAACAGTTTATTAAAATGCTGATAGTTGGAACGATATAGAATATCAGAATACATCATGGTGTAATGATTAAATACTTTAATATCAAACAGTAACATTTTGTTAATATTTTTATAGTTATATTTGATTTTATAGTTCTTTGATATAGTACATTTGGCCAAACAAACACTTTTGGTTTACAAAGCTATTTTTGCCAAATATTAGTAAACCTCTCTCTTTTATCAATAAAGACAACAAACTTCAGATAATTGTTTGTATATTCTACATGACGTTTCGGTTTAAGCCTTTTTTCAAGGGTCTGTAAACGTCACAGGTTACGAAACTGATTTAAAATTATAGCAACCGAAAAGTATATAAAACTACAACAATATAATGGGACGGTGCCCAATATAGCGTTATTGTCCTTATTGGTTAAATAATCAATGAGTAACTGGTGTGTCTAACAAATGTAATGTTGTAATAAAAGGCAAGACAACGGTTTCTACTAGTAATGCTATTTTAAAATAGAGAAGTGTGTGGCCTATTGATTAGTGTCGGGTTGTGTAACTGTAGGTCCAAGGTTTGGCCTTCTCCTTGCCGCTGAACACGTTCAACACTTCTAGTTGTGGAGACGTTATAATTGTGGCAAACAGTCCTGCTATGTGATTACGATTAGCCACAAGCGTGAAGTATGCTGTTAACTGAATTTTCTCTCTTTGTCAGCAGGGAAGTTATTTTTGAAATATAAAGGTATCCAATTTGGCAGTTTATCCCAGGTGTTGCATAAGGTGACATTCAGGTTAAGAATACAAAATATCAAAATTTCTGCTAAAACAATACAATTTATTATTATTACCTTCTAAATTTCGTTGTAAGATAAAGTCAGACTAACGTGTTTATTGAAACGTGTCTGACTGATAGTTAGTTTATATCGAGTTCAAATATCTTGAAGATTGTAACATAAATAGTATAACATGTGTAAAGGTATTTCATGATATAATTTTGAAAAACTTTATTTATCAATTGTAGAATGAAATAAGAACTAAATGAATAATGAAACGAACAGATTATAGGAAATTCAAATGTTATCTAATGCATGTGTGGGCTCTGTTATGGTGAAAATTGATTTCGGATCAAAATTTATCTTTTCAATATAAATACATAATTTACTTTTTAAATGTGCTCCTGATTAGAGTAAATATTCACATATATATCTCGTATCTTGTACTACCTATATTTATGAAGGTTACTGATACCCAATTTTGTATGCAACGATTTAGTACTTCCAGGAAACATGAAATATTTCATGTTTCGGAAAACTTTTCTTCTTTCCAGCGCAAACAATAAATTTTTAAACCTATTCCTGAATCTGACTCCTCAGGGAAAATTGTCTTGTTTTACATAAAATACATATTTATCTTTTAAGATCTTAAGTATCTATTTATATTTTGAAATGTAGTGCTAAATCATAAATATGCCTATTCTGACAAGTGTAAATAATCTTATACTCAGAAATGTTATTCAGCAGAATAATTAGTGCTAGACAGAAACAAATTTGTTCAGAGAGAAATAAAAACCTTACGTATATAATTATATAGTTAAAAACAAGTGTTCTCTTCATCAAGTTATCTAAAATATCACCCAAACTAAAATGGAAATTTCAAGCGCATGTAACTGTCTTGTGTTTGAGCATTACTGTTAAATAATCAAATTTTTCTGTTATGTCTTGGAAGAAGATAACTTAAAAAACTTAATGTAAATATATAATCAAGAAGAAAATAAGTTTTTGGGATTCAATGTAATACACAAATCGAGCGAACCACAAACAACTGAGCCCCCCCCCCCCAAAAAAAAAAGAAATATTCTTCACCTGAAAGTATTATTCGTTGATTTTGATTTTTTTTCGTATGCTTTTTCTCGGCAGTCTTCATTTGGAGTAAGTTTCTAACACCTTGGAAGGGATTTGATTGTAATACCTATGGTTAATATTTCACGACATAACACAAAACTATCATTGTAATACCCAATGTTAATATGTCACGACATAACACAAAACTATCATTGTAATACCTATGCTTAATATGTCACGACATAACACACAAAACTATCATTGAAATAAGTATGGTTAATATGTCACGACATAACACAAGCTATCATTGTAATATCAATGGTTAATATGTCACGACATAACACAAAACCATCGTTGTAATACCTATGGTTAATATGTCACAACATAACACAAAACTATCATTGTAATACCTATGGTTAATATGTCACGTCATAACACACTATAACACATATAGTGAGTTATTTCTCGTTGAGTTTATGATAATCACTCATCGCTAATTTTTATAATTAAAAATTAACTGCATTGGTCGTTTTCCTTAGATGCACCACGTTGTAAGGACAAACAAACGCTTGTTTTTGGAACCACAAGACACAAACCCGTAGAAGTACCCTGTGAGGTCGAAGCAGATCCACCGGAAGTGACGTTTAAATGGATTTTCAATAATTCCCGAGAGTCTTTAGATGTTGTAACTTTTCACAATTTTCTATTAAAAAGTGTGGCAACTTATATTCCGCGAACAAAATTTGATTATGGAACTCTGCTTTGTTGGGCCAGTAACACAGTAGGAACTCAATCCTATCCGTGTGTGTTTTCTGTTATACCAGCAGGTGGGTAAACCTCACTAAACAATGTTCATGAAATGTGTTACTTTTGAAAGTCCATATATATTTTATGTTTCAAAGATGAAAATATTTATAATAATTTATGCTTTATAATAACATTTTTATGACATTCACAACCACAAAACCTCTTTCATACTATATACTACCATATTTCTTTATATAAGAATCAAAATATAACATGAATTATGAGATAGTTAGCATTTCTGTTGAGTGAAATTATGAGTTGGCTGCAAATCGTGAAACAGTTTTTTTTTTTTATAAAATCGTGCATATTTCCTGAGGATTTATCCTGCACAATTTGATATCAGAAATGAAGAAGAAAATATAATTACGTATTGATAGATATGATATTCAGATTTAAATTTACACGCAATTGTTGTGAAGTTAACTTTTCATGCAAAAGAAAATTGTCACTTAGACTTAGGTTTTCTTGGATTTTTAAGCATTGGCTCAAGTGATTGATGCTTTAAAAAATCAACGGAGGCACTCCATTGTCTGTAAAATATATGCACTGATAAAATGGTCTACGCTGTGTTTCCTTTCTCTATTTTTTTCTTCAAAAAATCTATTTTTAAAAGATAGAAACTTAACTAGCATAAGAAACGCGATAATATGTAAAATAACAAAATCAATTCTGTAGCTAATGAATAATTCGACCAGTATGTTAATTATGTACAATAAAGTTATATGAAATAGCTAAACATTAATGATATTGTCATTGAAATCTGCCCTCTGTGGGTCAGCAATAAGTTTAATAAATTACAATGTTAAGAACCGGGATTGAATTTCCTGCTGTGAATAGAGCATAAATAGCCCAATGTTTAGTTTTAGATGAAAGAAATAACCAAGTAACTCTCGTTCAAGTCTACATTTCCAGAATAAAAGATTTTCCCCTACGCACTTTTAATTTCCCTAGGACCACCAGAAAAGCCACGTGATTGTAAAGTGTGGAATGTCACCGTGAACTCGGTTGAAATAACTTGCAAGCAAGGCTACAACGGTGGTTTGAAACAGCACTTTGTTATGGAAGTACATGATGAAAATTTACATAGCCTTCGTGCCAACCTAACCTCCTCTAATCCCGTGTTTCTACTAAGAGGCTTAGATGATGGGTCCATGCTGAAGCTAGTAATTTATGCCGTCAATGTGGAAGGTAAAAGTGACCGAAGTATCATTACAATCAATACAATCGCAGACTGGGTTGGGAGCGCTGGTAAGACTTTTTTCGTTAATTTATGAAACCAATTTATTTGTAAAAAAAAAGAGCTCCGGTTGAATACTGAATATCATGTTGGATTCAAAGTTTCTGTCACATCATCAAAATTTAATCAACTTAAGTGTTTCTGTTTCGTTTTTCTTAACACTTCGATACAGAGTTGCAGAGTTGATGGTATAATTGTTAAAAAAATAATAGATTTTTATTATATCTAAAAAAAATATATTTTTTAATTCAATCGTAATTTTTGGGAAAAAAAGAAATATATACATATATGTTTTCAACTTTTGTTTGTGTACGTTTTAGTTTTATCCAATTTAGGTAATGAATGGAACGTCACTTCCGGTCCATTATTGCTGATTGTTGGAGCTAGTATGATTGTCTTGTTAGTGATAGGCCTAAGTCTCCTTCTTGTCCTTAATATTCGTTCCAGAAAACAAGGCAGACCAAAAACAAGTAAATTTGGATATATATATATTTTTTAAATAGTAATTTTTCAATAAAATATACTATGGGGGAATTTCTTGAATAAATACAGAAGAAGTAATTTATAAACTACGTAAGAGTGGATTAACATGTTAAACCACTTCTTTTCGATGCTTTTATTTAAACAAAGTCAAATATATTTAAGGACATTGATATCTATTTTAGATAATAAGACTAGGATTAAGATAGAGCTAGATAAATATAATTATTTTTATTCTGTGTTGTAAATAAACTTGAAATTCATGAATTATACTTGTATAGCGTAGCACTTTGAAGTTGAAATAATTGTGTCAAAATACTAAAATCATTCATTATGACATTATGCTTTTCGTCAGATGCAACATAGCAATAAATGTTGCATTACTATTACGTGTCATATATTGAGTTCCTAACTTTAAACAGATTCTCAGTTCCTTAAATTGGTACAATCTGCTACTCTTAGAGTACAGAGTAAGAAATGATAAAATATGACTGATTTTTTTTATTTCACCATGTTTACATATATAAATAAAACAAACTTCACTTCTGAGATCAGATTAAGGTTCACGATTCAGACGAACGTGGTGTAAATTATGTCTATGAATTCAAAGTAGCGATCTTGTCCGTTAATAACTATCCTTAGTTGTAATATTTTATATTTTTAATGTCTAGCAACAAAAAATATCATAGAGTTACAAGCAGTAGAAGAAGAAGATGGATCGTTTTTCACAAAAGACAGCGGGAATTGGCTAGCGCCCTCATTACAAAATAACATTTCCCCGTGCAATAAAGAGGACTTATTAAACATTCAAAGTGTAAGTTTTCTATTCTTTGTTTTAGGAAAATATCACAATAAACTTTCTGTAACGTAATTTCACAATTTTAAAAACGAATAACATATTCGAGTATGTTTTTTTTAGTCGAAATTGTAATTAACAATAGCATTCTTTAAAACGGATTTGTTTCGATTTATTAGAACTGGACAGCCGTTTCTTAATTATTTACGAGTGGATTGTAAATGCTAATATTAACATTACTATCTTAGCAAACAATATTTATTGTCGTAATTCATAGTAATAATTTATTAGCAAAAATCAAAATTTTGTTTTGAATTAACATTCTACTAATTACAATTAGAATAGTATTTTACTCGTTCAAAATAACTAAATAACCACGGTTTATCACTTATTATTCTCTTATAGTCTTTTAAGATCATCACAGCTTCAATGTATGAGCTCAGGTCATGTATTTTTATATTACTTAAGTTTTAAAAAGATGAGTTGAGACAAAATTCATATAAGTCTATTTCACGGAATATATACAATGTACTTAATTATATGCTTTCAACACATTACGAATTGCAATCATACCTCAGTATGTTTTCATATAATAATGTTTTTTTTACTTTACCTTTGAAGGTAGAGAATTGTGTGTTGTTGTTTATAGGGCAAAGTTACACAACAAGCTTTCTTTGCTCTGGCTAGCCGCGTGGAATCGAACCCCGGTTTTAGCGTTGTAAGTCCGTAAAATTATTGCTAAAAATCGAGTTTCGATACCCTGTGGGGGACACAGCACAAATAGCCCATTGTATAGCTTTGTGCTTAACAACAAACAAACCCACCGAGGGACATTTTTATTCACCCCACATTTATATTAACATTCCCTTTTAATAGATTATTTATAGAGTTAAATTGATTAGCGTTTTTATTTGTTTTTCTTATATCTCTTTTAGTTTCTATTTTCACTATTTAACATAGAGTCGTATTTCGCCAAAAAGGTTTGAGCCTACTGCGTTTTTAATAAATTATTGTGATCCTTTTAGCGTTACGGTGCTTTAATATTTAGTCCACCTATTTTTAATTGACGTAAGGTCTAAAAATTATAGGTGGGCTTACAGTGACCACAAGATCATAAGAATTTATGGGTTAAAGCTATTAGCATAAAGTTGCGAAGTAGTTAGAAAGTTAATTACGTGTTTAGATTTAGTGCATATTTTCCCACAAAAACAGGGATGCTGGCAGATGACCCATGAACGTAGAGAAGTAGAAAGAAGGTTCCAAACATCTTGTAAATTAAAATGTATGATTTGAAATTAAGTCAAAGTTTAACTTGTGGAAAGAAAGAGTTAACTAATTTACGACGTTAAATTCTTATGAAAATTATTTGTTTGCTTAAGAAAGGGATGATAAGACTAACGGGGATTTTAAGACAATACAGGGTTATATTAATAGTCACAATTTTAGTTTTAAAAAAGTTATATGTTATAGTTTTCACAAAATGTAAGGGTTATCTAGAAGATCCTTGTTTCTTCGAGCGAAATATTTGTGAATATAGATTCAATCCTAAAACCAGCATTTACTTTAAATCTCCCAGATTTTTGATGCTATCTTCTATGTAACGGTTAGTTTGACATTAAATAGCTTGCTATCTTCTATGTAACGGTTAGTTTGACATTAAATAGCTTGCTATCTTCTATGTAACGGTTAGTTTGATATTAAATAGCTTGCTATCTTCTATGTAACGGTTAGTTTGACATTAAATAGCTTGCTATCTTCTATGTAATGGTTAGTTTGACATTAAATAGCTTGCTATCTTCTATGTAACGGTTAGTTTGACATTAAATAGCTTGCTATCTTCTATGCAACGGTTAGTTTGACATTAAATAGCTTCTCACAAATATCTCGCTTGAAGAAACTATTCAGATCTGCCTAATCTACTTGTTTTCCATGAACAACATATTCAACAGCTACTCAAACTAGGGGATATATAATAATACCCAAAAAAATGGAACAGAACGACACGCTACTCAAACTAGGGGATATATAATAATACCCAAAAATGGAACAGAACGATACGCTACTCAAACTAGGGGATATAATAATACCCCAAAATGGAACAGAACGACACGCTACTCAAACTAGGGGATATAACAATACCCCAAAATGGAACAGAACGACACGCTACTCAAACTAGGGGATATAATAATACCCCAAAATGGAACAGAGCGACACGCTAAAATGCGGATAAGCACAGAATGTAGTTTTATCACACAATAAAATCACCTTTTGTTTGACAATTAACAAATATAATACACAGATAATCATATTATAGATACCTTTAAGATTGAAACAGCAATAAGCAACATCGTATGTCTTTATTTATGTCATCTGAAACATATGTGGTTGCACGAAACAGTAAATATGATCCTTAGTAACGTAACTCTAATAATTTATGAGAGAAAGTAAACTGAAGAAAGTATAACAATACGTCAACGACACTATACCTTCTGTAGCCATTACTGAATAGGCCTTTCACTCAATACCAGGGCTCACCACGCCGGCTGAGATAAGACGACACACATACTGATGGTTGAGATGCCACTTTCATCATGAACTTTCATGAATAAGAGCTGATATGGTGTAAAGTAAATCATAATGATTAAGCGTATTTGTTATGTATTATATATGAACCATTATTAAGATAAGTATTAATAACACAATATTATTTAGTTATTTAAACACAAAGTATTTAATATAATTATCATTAGTTAGAAGAAAAGACGAATAAAGCATAAACAGCGTCAATGGTAGAAGACACCATTAGTAATTCTGAAAACAATGTATATAAAAATATGTCATTTCATTCACATTATATCTGCTGTATCCATTGCTGACAAGGCCTTTTACTCAATGTCAGGGCTCATCAGGCTGAACGTTATATTATTTAAGTAAATTGTTTTAGATAATTAGAATCTCAACGTTAATTTCAAAGTGTAAATATTCTGTTTGTTAATAGTTAAAAATAACCGAGAAATAGATAACAATATTACTTTTTAATAATGAACTACTATTTTGCAACAAGCTTAAAACAGATGCTTTAGCACGGAACAATGGTGTAAACCCAGAACATCTTTAACACGAACAATGGTGTAAACCCAGAACATCTTTAACACGAACAATGGTGTAAACCCAGAAAATCTTTAACACGAACAGTGGTATAAACCCAGAAAATCTTTAACACGAACAATGGTGTAACCCCAGAGCATCTTTAACACGAACAATGGTGTAACCTCAGAACATCTTTAACACTAACAATGGTGTAAACCCAGAACATCTTTAACACTAACAATGGTGTAAACCCAGAACATCTTTCACACAAACCATGGTTTAAATCCAGAACATTTTTCACACGAATAATGGTGTAAATCCAAAACATTTTTCACACGAATAATGGTGTAAATCCAGAATATCTTTAACACGAATAATGGTGTAAACCCAGAACATCTTTAACACGAACAATGGTGTAACCCCAGAACATCTTTAACACGAACAATGGTGTAAACCAAGAACATCTTTAAACCTCTAATATACCCTTATTATTACACCTTCAACCGCAAGTTATTATTTTGAAATTACATTAAATTTTGTATGAAAACATTTTGGGTTAACGAATGACATCAATTCAATGATAACGTGTTAAGTTGCCAGGAACTAAATATAAAACCCCTTTAAAACATTACAATAACGTCATCATCATAAACTCCTAACATCAGTTATTGTTTTATTTAAATAGTTGATTCACAATAAAATATACTCATTTCGATGAATAAATGCTGTTTTGCTACAAACCAACAGGAACAGACATTTTAGCACGGGACAATGCATAAAGATCTCGAACGCCTTTAACACATACTGCAACTCAATCATTGCAGTATTTAACCGCCTTTTAGGAATACGTAATCCTTTATAGGTAAAACAAATGCTTAAAAAATCTTAAACATCATGATATTTCTTCCAGTTATCACGAACTCTCTGTAACCAATAATCTTTTAATTTGTTTATTTGTTCGTAGTTATGCACAAAGCTACACAATGGGCTATCTGTGCTCTGCCCACAACAGGCATCGAAACCCGGTTTCTAGCGTTGTAAGTCTACCGCTGTGCCACTGGGGAGCGATAATATTTTAAAGGAACACGTAGAAAATTCAGGTGCAAAATATTCCAAACGATTATAACTAGTATAGCCTCATATTTTTGTATTCGTTGAATCAAACAACATGTTTTTATATTCCATCTGTTTTGCTCAAACTCCCAAATAGACAAGTTAACGCGAAACAACCCGTGAAACCACTCGAATATTTTTTTTTTTTTACTCCCAATTCTATATAATGGGTTATCTGCGCTATGGAATCGAACCGCAGATTTTAGCATTTTAACTCCATAAATTCACAGCTGACCCAGCAGGATACAAAATCGTTCGAACAACATGAAACCGAAAAAGCAACAACTATAAAATACGTTACTAGCTTCAAACTATATTTTTAGTAAATTATATAGTTTTTTCTCATGGAAAAATTGTACATGCTATTAAGTACATTCTTCTAATAAAACAACTAATTTTACGACGGCATCATAATATGAATTTTGGGTGAGACCCACTGGCGTTAGGTATTAGAGAATCCCTCTTTACCCGTGGACCCTGACATAGCCTGGAGATTATGGCCTTTGATTTGCAATCTGCGGGTTGAGAGCTGTAATTCCGTTATCGAACATGCTCACCCTATCACCAGTGGGAGTGTTATAATGCGACGATAAATCCTACTAGTCTCTGATAAAAAAGTACCCTAAGAGTTGGTGATGGATGATGTTGACTAGCTGCCTTTTCTCTAGTCTATCACTTACAAATCTGGAAGATAGGACAGATAGTCCTTGAGTCGCTTTGCACGAAATTCAACAAACTCTTCAGCCATCGTGCACGCTAAAAATTAAAAATCAATAAAGTTTCGTAGATTATTTTGATTAGACTTATAATTATGG